ACAAAATGAGCAACAAACTCTTTGAATCAATTTCCACAAAACTTTGCAACCAAGAATAATAAAACTTTCAGACATGTCATTGTTAGTATGAGAAAAACTGCAAGTGTGCTCCTCACATTTGTTGGAGATTTCTCTGATTTATTTTATCTAGAACAAGAAATAAACACACCTACACACACTGTGGATATGGACCGTTTTAAAGTACTTTATATGATATGAACTATATGAAGTGGAATCATGTCTGTAAAGAGATCCTACACAAATCCCAGAAAAAGTGGATTAGCATCTCTTGTTGAAAAAAAAAAAACCCAAAGGGCTAGTTACACACACACTTTATTAAGAAATTTGTATTAATAAAGACCTATTTAAAATTTTTGACCTTTGTAATTAAAAATATTTTCAAATGAGACTTAAAATCATAATAAAGCTGTAAATTTGTTGGATAAACTTTGAAACCTCTGTAGTGATTTGGCTGGGTTATTTCCTTAAGCTCACACACATAGGTGATGGCAGAAAATCAGACAGTCATTCAACAAATGCAGGAGCCCAAGAGATAAGGAAACATACAACAAACTGCAAACTATGGTTTTCATAGGATAAACTTTTTCAATAACATGTTAATTACACTTTCAAGCCATATGCTTAGTATCTTTTCTTTTTTCTGTTTTGTCAACGTCCAGATACATTTTCAGGTAAAGTACCTCCACATTTAAAGCAATGAGACCAACTGTTAATCTGGGGGAAAAAATCCAGCCAATACACCGAGTATCCCCAGAGTCTAGAAACATACGGGAAATAATGTATTTATTATGCTGTTTTTCAGATGAACAATGATACCCATTGTTCTGACTTTTGAGGCACTTTACCTGAAAGGTGTCTGGAAGTTGACAAAAAACATTTGAGCATATTACTTTATTTTATTTTTAATTTATCTTTTATTGCAGTTTAACACTGGCTTATAACATAGAAGCGCCACGTGTACAACGTTATATTTATACTTCTGTGTACACTACAGCATGTTGACCATATTATTTTGTGGTCAACACATTTTCAGAGTTTCCTGACTCCCTGGGCCCTCTGCAGCTGTCAAGTGTCCACTCTGTGACACTAAGCGTCAAGTGTCCACAACGCATCGTGTCAGGTGCTGGGTATGCAATGGTGAGTAACATAGCTCCGCCCTTCCATCAATTACCATCTACTCACAGGAGCAGAACATGGCTCTTTCTGGAACTGAATTAACATGATGTCTATAATATTTTGACAGCAACAGTAGGGAACATAGCTGTTAAGAACAAATGCATGAACAAATGAACAAAAGAGAAAGGAAGGAAGGAAGGGAGAAAGGAAAGGAGGGGACAATGTTCAGCTTAGCAGGATTAGAAACATAAAATTCTAGAACTGGGAGGAAATCTTGGAGATCACTTAATTTAGTGGCTCTTAACCACAGCTGTGCATCAAATTACTCGAGGAGCTTTTTCAAGTTAAATGTGCAAAATCCCACCCAAACCCTACTGCCTAAAAATCTCTGTGTATCTGCATTTTGAAAAAGCTCCACTGGTGTTTATGGTGCAAACCTTTGGTTAACATGCACTGATCTGGCCTAATTCCCTCATTTTATATATGAGGAAACTGAGGCCCAGAGAGGCTGAGTGCCTGGCCAGAAATCACACAGCTATTTTACTACAGTCCAAATTTTCTGATTTTCAGAAAATGATGGTAGAAAAACTGTCTTTTTTCTGCACTATTATACCACATCCCTACTGTCTATTCTTGAATCTCTGCTCAAGAAGAAACAGGATAAATGGACAAGCACTTGACCAAAAGTTACTGAACCGAAGTAAACAAGCCAGCGTGCACAGGCAATACAAACACATAAAAAACAAAGACCCATCATGTACCACAGTAACCCAGTTGCTTCCTGCTTAAACAGTCAAGTCAAGCTAGTTTAAACCACTCCTGCACAAAAACCATTATTCCTATCAGTTTCTCATTTCAGCACTGCAATGAATAACAATTTGGGGTTTTGTGGGTAAGGAGAAGGAGAGAGCAATTTTTCTGGTTTATTCCTAAAATTCAGAAGGTTAAAAAAGAAGTTTCCAATACCTCAATATAAAGACAGTCTGGTCTGCTTTTAACACATTTGGCAGGACTTGAGGACGTGTTTTTGGCTATTAGCCTGACAAGCTGTTTAAGCTTATAGACCCACAAAGGGAACTTAAGTGATTAAGTTAGTTAAACACAAACATCTTCTCTGTATATTTTATTCCCTCCCTTCACATTCACAAAAACATAAAAGGCTAAAGCATTTCAGAACTTGGTGAGGGGGGCAAGTTATTTATCACTTCAGCCCTTTCCCCAAGGCCTGTGTAAATAAGAAACTAAGGCAACTCAGTGAGATTACTCATCTGATCCTTGCAATGAACAAAGCAAAGCATCAGAAAGCAGTTCAAAATTCCTATGAAGCATGTGTATTTTCTTACAAGAAACATCTGTGCTTCTCTAATGCATTTCAGACCTAACTTTATCTCTTCCTAAAGATTATGTAACGTGCATATACTTCAAGCAGTGAACATACTTGTTAATTACATAGTTACAGAAGAATTCAGAATGCCGTCTCCTTCCGACACACATTATAACCAGCATTTCAACACCAGAGCACTAAGCAGTCTTCTTACAGAAAGTCTAACAGTTCCTGAAGCTGTCTGGCAGAGAGGTCTGAAAGCAAAACAAAATACCATACTATCTAGCTCTTTTTCAGATCCTAATGAAGGAACTTAGATTATTCAAGCATGTAAATAACATAGTTGGAAACATCAATTACAGTAAACAAGTTAGGAGTTTCTTCAGAAGATCATGTTATTTACTTATCATTGAGATAAAAGGAAAAAAAAAGAAGCACATTTGCCTTTGGTGAAACTATAACATGGTTTAAATCAGTTCACTATTATTAGACTGAAAAAGTGGTGTGTGTGTGTGCGTGCGCGAGTGTGCGCGTGTGTATCTAGAAGGCAGCATTTCAGCTAGGGCAGAGGAGCTGGCCAGTACAGAGAAGGGTTTTAATAGACTTTCTATTTCAACCATAGTTACTATAGTGGGTTTTGTCACTATAGCAATGGGCCTGGGTGGGGTGAGGGTTTGGCAGGCGGGGGAGCTCAGCTGGTAAAGCAACAGAAACCTCATTTTACCTCGACCTGGGCAAATTTCCTCCGAAAAGGTTTGCTTAATTGAAGGAGTTTCCAAGGAGGAAGAACAAGTCCAATCGGCGGTTGGTGGGCACTTCCCACAGTGCACTGCTTTGCGAAGGCTCACCTCGCGCCTCTAGCTTTGATCAAAGGCCTCCACCATCGCTCATTAGTGGTGATACATTGGGTTTAGGCGGTAACCTAACCTCCAGGATCTCAATGCACCCCAGCAGCCTGGGTGAATTTCAGCTGGCTCTACGGGGGCTATGTGAAACATGGCATTTACAAATTTGGATTATACAGCACTATTTATTACACGATGGAAAATTTCCAAAAATGCCAGAAGTGATGGCTGGCATTTATGCAAGTCAACTACTGTTCAACCCAAAGGAGCTCTGTATTCTATGGGATGTTTTTTGCCAGGACTGAAAGAGCCTATGTGAAAACACCTTAATTAGGACCATCTTAGCACCTCAGCTATTGGATACCCTCTAGCTCGAGGTGTTATGTTTCAAATGGGCCAAAAGACCATCCTGGAAACAGAACCCCCCAGTCCTGTAACTAATCCCTTCACTCCAAGTCCAGAGAGTGTATATTTTCTTATTTTCAGATTTCATAAGTCAAGTATATCTGGTAGCTATTAAAAGATTTAAGCCTCTACTGTTTTTAAAAGGTTGCAGTGTTCAGAGGCTTCAAGCCCACAGAGGGGGCGATCTGGAGGGTTTGGTTGCTGGAGAATGGTGAAATTATTCCCTGGTTCCTTTCTCCCCTCTCCTCCCTCCCCCTCCATCCTGCCCCCACTGTTTTAAGAATATTCTTATTGTCCATTCTCTACCCTTTTTTCATATATATATATATATATATATATATATATATATACTATATATATATTATTTATTTTTAGTTCGTTTAGTTTTTACTTTTTAACCGTTTTACCGGTTTAACGGGTAGGGTCG